GTAGAAGAGCACCGCAAAGCGTAGTATGTCACAGCATGGCGTGGCGTGGCGTAGTGAAGAATTGCATCACAAAGCTTTGCAACGCAAAGCATGGCATCGCACAGCGGCCCCGAACATAACATTGCATAACATGGCGTTGAAGATCAAAGCGTAGCATGGCATAGCATGACGTGGCACTTACGCATTGGATATGACAGTTGCAGCTGAAGGCATGGCATCGCGCAGCGGAACGCAACCTAGCATTGCATTGCATGCCGTGGCATGGCACGGAAATGACGCCAGCGCTGCAGCGGGAGCACGATTCGGAACGAGCGGAAGCGCAGAAATGACGCCAGCGCTGAGCGGGAGCACGATTCGGAACGAGCGGAAGCACGGAAATGAGGCCAACGCTGCAGCGGGAGCGCGATTCGGAACGAGCGGAAGCCCGAAAATGAAGCCCGCGCCTCAGCGAGAGCATCATTTTGAAAAAAACCCAAGCGAAAACCACTCTGGGAAATCCTGTGTGTAAAAAACAATACGCGGGGGGGGGGCCGCTATCTTCCGCACGCCATCAGGGGATGGAGGAGAGTAGCATTCATATTGTGCAATTGTGGAGAAGGGGGAGGTGGGGGACGGGGGTGGACGGGGAGGGGGCGGGGGGGGGAGAGGAAAGCGCCGATGAGGAGGGGGAGGGATAGATGCAGGGTAAGCGCAAGACGCATCGACGATGCTGCAGTAATAGGGGAGCCCACAAAGGACGTACGCGCCCAGCTATGTACATGAACACGGCCCCTCGATCCGCGAGACCGGCCGCGTGATACGAACAGTTGCGCAATGCGTACTCTCGAAACCAGCGTGGATTCGTGTACGTGTACGTCCTTTTGTCGCTCCTGAAGTAAGAGGCCCGTCCCAAGTCCCCTCATGGTCGGCCCTACACCCTGCGAAATGCTGAAGAAATCATGGGTTAAGAAATTCATAGCCTCAGAACTTGAATAAAAAAAACCCAACGTTTCTATGACAATCTGAAGATTTACATGGAAACTTTAAGAATAATCGCGACTCTGGCCGAAAACTTAGGTTTTCTTAAGCAACGCCTAAGGTGTACAAGAACCCGGTTCCGCTGCGGGACGGCGACGGCGTCAGATCTCTTGACGGGACATCGCAGCGTCCAGCGAGGGCCCCGCTCCCAAGGAATTACCCCGCAAGGCACCCGGACAGCAGCATCAAAAGGGGAAGAGGCGGGTCGAGGAGCAGGAAGGGCGGCGAGTTGAGGTGTGCGCTCCTGGGTATCTTTGGTGTCCGTTCCATGGGAGCCTGCGTGGCCCCTGGCACTGTCCAATTTGGGCCTGATTTGGACCGGATCTGGAACAAATTTGGACCGGATTTGGACCAGACTTGGACTGGATTCGTGGGGGCTGCGTAGGAGAACGAGGAGGGGGAGGGGGAACAGGAGGAGAGAGGAGGAGCAGGAGGATGGGCCAAATGCGGTCCCCACGCTGTCCACATGCAAGAAAAGCTGATTTCAATGTCGCCGCCCAAGGCTCCCATGAACAGACATCGAAGGTATCCCTGGGGATCCCCAGGCGTGGCAGGGGTGAGGGCACGGCCAGGTGCACCGCAGCGTATGATGTGGAATGCATGAGACGAGTGCGCGCGGTGCTGGGCTGAGGCGAGCACGGCACTCTGAAAACCACCCCCTCCATCTGCGCAGCTGCCGGCAGCTGCAGGCTTCGGGTGATAAGCGGCAAGGACTTACAAGGCGGAGCGCCCGGCCCGCCCTCCCGACACGCCTGGTGGTCACACGAAGAGGAGTTGAACATGTACGCGGACAAGGGGGAGATGGGTAGGGGAACGGGGGAGAGGGGAAGGAACGGAAAGAGGGGGGGGCAACGAGGAAGAGAAGGAGGAGGAGAAGGGCAAGGGTTGGGAATGAAGGCCATCTGGGCCATACTGGGACAGCCCGTCCGCGGGGCCACCGCAGACCCCCGACGTCCTTGTTCTGATTCGTCACAGCGTGGACCCCTGGAGGTCGGGGCCCCTTCCCTGGGGGCGGTTTCTGCATCCTCCGCCGTTCTTTGAGAGCCGCGGGACACGGAGGACCCGCAGAGGCTGAGGAGAAGTGCCCAAAGCCCCCCGTCGCTCTCTCCACGACGCGAAGATGTCAGGGTCAAGGGTCAAAAGTCGACCTCTGATTTGGCCTCCTGGGAGATCGATAGGGAACGATTGATGGGGACGGGCATAATCAGTGGTGAAGCATCGACCTGGAATCAGCGATGCATCGCCGACAGATCGGCGATAGGCCCCCGATAGCGACACCGCACGCTCCTGGGCGAGGTGGGCCACCTCCAACGCTGCCCCTGGGGAGACCTCCGGCAGCGCCGGGCGCAGGCGCCCAGCACAGAGGGCCCGGCGCAGGCGCCCGGCGCAAAGGGCCCGCCGCCCCCCCCCCTCTGCGGGAGAGGCGGCGCTGCCGTCCTGCGCGTCCGGGAGCTCGCGGCCCAGCAGGATGATGCGCTGGGACCTGCCCGGCCCGCGCGGACAGGGGCAGGGAGGGGGGGGGGGAACGCTGCCCACGGGTGGGGACTGGCACGAGCGGCGAACACACTGTCACTTATATTCGCGCCCTCGCGGTCTGGACTCCAGGCGCGATCCCGCGGGTACGCGGTCGCACAGACACGCTCCGCGCGGGGCATCCGCGAAACAGTCATCAAAAGTTTGTGTTTTGCTTTTGTGTCTGAGGAACGCTGCGCAATTCTGGGGGACTGGCGCTCGGAGCCCCACGCCGACTAGCGAAGCCATCGCATTAGGCATGCAAGAAAGCACAAACAAACAAGTTGACCCATGTCCGAGAGATCAGCCCTCTCGCGCATTCCTGTCAAGGACGCTCGCCCAAGCTCATCAACTTGGGAACGAGAGAGAAGCGAAGCCAAAAAGCGCAAGGCCTCGGACGAGGGCAACGCCGACCCGCTCAACAGCAGGGACGGCCAAGTGGAAGTGGAAGTGGAAGTGGCTGCGTCCCCGAAAGGGGCCCGCGAGGGGCGCAGCGCAGCTCGCGCCGCTGATTGCCTCATGAACCACGCGGCGAAATTCTCGACTCTGGATAGCCACCAATCCCGGTCCAGCGCCTGATCAGTCCAAGAATTGATGTCGTTCTCTGCAGTGAAACGCCGGACAACATCTCCCCATTTCATCCACCTTCCTCTCAGTCGGCGTCGCGTGCGCAACGCGCAGTCTGCTACCGATTTTGCCCAGTCAGAATCCCGCCATTCAGTCACCTTGCGCACCCAAGTTGACATGCTTCTTCTGGCAACGCGCCCTGCCCACAACCATTTCTTCCGGGCGCGCTCCTCTACCCAGTCTCTCACTCCAGCCCCCCGCGCTTTCGCGCGGGCTCTCCTTGTGGCGCGTTGAAGCCACTCGATCCACGGCGCGTTGGGAGCACGCCTGCAGCATGAGATCCGCCGGGGCATGTCATGTTGAACTGTTCGCAACCGCTGGATTTCCTCCACTCGCGGCGCCCAGGAATGCGATACATAGAGCACTGCGCTGCCCACCGTGGCGTCGAAGAGGCGCAGGCGCCCGTTGACCGAGACATTCGGGCCGAGCAGCAGGCGCTTCAATGTCCAGAACTTCCGCCACCCAAGTGCCAACCGGCGATCGATCTCAGGCTCCGTTGGGTCTTCGAGTGACACCGATGTGCCCGGCGCCTCCAGGCACTCCGACTTCTCCAAGACTTGCAAAGAAAAACCGTCTTCTAAAACAACGCCCCCCCCCGTCTTGTCCAGCCCAGGATACTCGCGCGCGCATTGCATTTGGCGGGGTGGAAGCACGGGCCACGAAGCAGCAACATACGTCGCAACTCCAACACCATTCTCTCTAGCGAAAGCCAGGACCGCGCCACCAAAGTAACATCGTCAGCGAAGGCGACGAGGGCGAGCCGCTTGCCGCCCAATCCCCGCCCAACCTCCGTGCCGCATCCTCTTCGCTGCCATGTTGCCCGTGCATCTGGCAAAACCTGCACCGTCACGAGGCTGAACAAAACCGGGGAAAGCGGGTCGACCTGACGCACGCCACGTTGAACCTGAAACTGGCGACTCTCTACGCCTGGCCACAGCTGCAAGCGCGCCTCCATGCCCCGGTAAAGCTCACGCAACACCTGCACGACAGAGACGTCTATACTGGCAGACAATAAGGAACCGAACAGCTCGTTGTGATGTACCTTGTCAAACGCCTTCTCTACGTCAAGTGCTGCCAACCACGGGTCTTCTCCCCACTCGGCTGATTTTTCTACCACCATGCGCAGCACGTGCACCGCATCATCGCAACCACGCCCAAAGCGGAAACCAGACTGCCCCTCCTGAAACATGTTTCCCACCACAGATTGAAAACGGAAATATAGCACTGTGCTGAATAATTTTGACATGACAGGTACCATTGAAATTGGCCTGTAATTTGTCGATTCCGAACGCGCCCCCGTCTTGAATATCACTGACAAGCGGGCGATCTTCCATTCCACGGGAGGCCCCATGAGCCCCGTAAGAATATCAAAAGTAACCCACAATAGTCTCCAAAAGTGCAGTGCGTCCTGTCTGTAGCATCTCGGACACCAGGCCGTCGTCTGCACAAATTCGTTTGTTTGTTGTTTCTTTTCATTTTTAAAAATTTCTAAATAGAAAAATGCCCTGGCCAGCTGCGAGCTCTTCTACGGTTACCCGGGGCACCAAGCCATCCAACTCCTGCTCTTCCAGGTCCTCCGCGCGGCCTTGTACATCGCCTCGTAAAAGTCAGCAAATGCCTCAGTGACGCCTCCGCTGTCTGCGACTCGCACTCCGTCGTGATCTGTCGCTGTGCGATCCTTTCAAATGCCCCCATGTCTCTGCCGTACTCTCTGCAATGCTCGAATGCCTTTGCCCTTCTCTGCCAAATATTCGCTTTCTCGCCCCTGTCGCAACCGTCGCCGTCGTCGCAGAGCCCCGCAAAGCTTCTTCGATACCTCCCGCCGGGTTGCCGGGCACGTCGCTGCCCGCCATTCGGAGAACAACTGCTGCACCTCCTCGGAATGAACGTGGAGGGTTGCCGGCGCGGGAGTGACTTGACCTCGCGGCCGTCACCGCTAAACCACCCACATCTGCAAGGCCGGAGTGCCCCAAAAAAAGGGCCATCGTCAGCAAGTCGCGGCAACCCGTCGGATTGCCGTCGTCATCCAGCTGCGGCGCCCACCCTTTCACCCTTCGCCCCCTCACTGGTCTCAGTGGCGGCGTGTACTCGCATGCTACTTCAGCGAAGATCGTTCTGTGATCCGATTTGCCCTCCAACTGTCTCCGAACACCCGCGTCGCGAACGATCTCGGCGCTTGCACAGTCGACTGGCAAATAACCTATGTTGTCGTAATTCTCCTGCGCCCCATAGCGCGCGCGCCCAAGTTCTGCCCCACTCCCGCTCCAACAATCCTGCCGCTGAAATACAACGAACACCAGTTAACCAATGACTCAATAGATGCCCCCGCTCAGTCGGGCCCCCGCCCCCAAAAGGTCCGATTACTTGGGGATCGTCGTACGCTAGTCGCTTCCCCGGCACTGCGTTCGCGTCAATGCCTGCCGCTGCCCCCCCCCCCCCCCCGCCTCACGCGCACTGGGCGCGGCCTTCTGAATTCAACCAAGCCCTCCTCGAACTCTTCGTCTGCAGCCCCGGAATGGCGCAAGTGGGAAACTACAGAAGGAATGCGCGAGCCAGGCAAGTCGACATCTACGTGACATAATCTAGCAGCATGGGGCACTGAAACGCGCATCAACACCATGCTGTACCCAGCGCTTGTGCAGTAGCATACCCACGCTTCTCTCAGTAGAAACCGCCTTCGAAGAGAACCATACATGACCCAATTCCAAAACAATTGTAAATTGGATGCTCCGCGCGAGGCCCCTCTCGGCACGGAAGAATATCCCACGCTGGCCCCACGTCGAGCATATCGGCCACATCCTGCATGCATCCATCCTCCATTCCACACGCATTCGAAACAATCATGTACTGGCATGTCGCCTGGCCCCGTCTCCCCCCCGATCTCTGACATGTCGGCCTGGCCAGGCGCCCCAGGCTTCATCCCCCCAGCGCGCTGGAGTAGCGTCACCGGCACGTCGCCGCACACATTGGCATATGCTCCTATGCACTGGGACCCACCGGCCCCTACCTCCACCTTCACGCCCCCCCCCCTCCTACTCTGCGGCGTAGAACTGTTCGAAGTGGCCCTTCCAAGCCATACCCGCCCCAACAGAATCCATCTCGCCGTCTACCCACGCTGCCACCCGCTCATCCTTGAACCACAATATGCACGTGAAGTAATTGGTGTCGACCTTGGATTTCACCGTAGCCCCATTGCCCCCGTCGACCTCGATGATCGCCCTCACCAACTTCCGGACAGCCCGCTCACGTTTTGCATCCTCCGATGTCGGGCCCCTATGCTTGGAGTCCGCACTGCAGTATATGTTCTGGCCATTGTACTTGTGAACATGTTGGCCCGCTTTCTTGCGCATGTAATCCCACATGGCCTCAGACGCTTTGAACCGCGCCCCAAAGCGTTCCGCGCATTTCTTCCCATATGCGACAACCTCCTCTACGTCCCCCCTGGCCTCGGTGAGCACGCCTTCCATGAGTTTCACGATATCCTGCGCCTTGCTGTCCTCAAGGAAGCGCCCGAAGTTCACGCCCGCGTTGCCCTTCCCTTTACCCTTCGTCTGACCCCAGCTCCAATCGCAGCTCCAATCGTCGAAAGCCCTTTCCCCGCAAGACCCCCCTCCTTGATGATGGCATTTCCCAACTTGGGCATATCATCCCGTAGCGTGGAAACCTCCTGCTTGATCATGTCCGCTGCTTCCATGGCCAAGTCTGCCGTGACCCTAGCCTGATCAGCCGCATTCGCCGCTTCGCCCACGCCTGTCTTCACCCCCTGCATGCCCCCCTCGTGCTTTTCATCATAGTCATCATCTTCTTCGTCGTGCCGACCATCGCCTTAGACCCCTCAGCCGCGTCGTCATCGTCGAGGTCATCTTCTTCGCCCATGTAAATATTATCATTGTCCTTCCCAGTCTTGGCCTTCTTCCCTTTGGGGCTCTCCCAAGCGTGACCGCCACTCTTCCTCGTCGCCATCGCGTGCGCTGCGTAGCCGACCCCACAGCAACCTCGATGCTGGAGGTCGCCAGTCAACAAAGAATATGAGCAGATCGTCTATGAGGCTCGCCTCGCGGCGCAAGCCAGGGCCCCCCCTGCCCTTGGCAGAACGCAGAGGCCAGGAGACAATGCGAAACGACAGAGAGCGAGCTCCCTACTCCGACGCGGCCGTCCGCGCGGGACGGATACTGGCTGGCACGGGCAGGACGACCATGACATGAAATCGACGACGCACCTCCGACCCGTCGACAAGGCGCCCCCGACTCCGAAACCGCACGTTCCGAAGGCCAGCACAGGGAGGGAAACAATGACCTGAAACTGGCGATGCATCGCCGACGGATTGGCGACGGGCCCCCGATA